CCCCCCCTCCGAACACACACATACAGGACCGTCTGGGTTACGGCTAATTGGCTTTTTTCCTGGTGGAGCATCTGGGAAGGGAAAGGTCAGAATTGTGTAATTATGGGTGGTTTAACATGGAAGTGTAACTAAATGATTTGGTTAAATGGGGAAAGGGTTTGGTGAGGAGGGAGTTGAGCTGTATAGCCAGTGGGCATTCAGGTCTCTACCAGAGACCTTACAGAGAAGAAAGGGTGGTGACCCAAGCCAGTGGCTCTGCATGGTGGGAGCTCTACCAGCAGATTTGGTGTTGAGTATTTCTAGCCCTGGGGCAGGTGGGTACAAATATCTTAACACTTACAGAGTGCCCTGTTGTAATTTTTTTTTGTGAAAGATTTTATTTATTTATTTGACAGAGAGAGACACAGCGAGAGAGAGAACACAAGCAGGGGGAGTGGGAGAGGGAGAAGCAGGCTTCCCACCGAGCAGGGAGCCCAATGCGGGGCTCCATCCCAGGACCCCGGGATCATGACCTGAGCTGAAGGCAGATGCTTAACGACTGAGCCACCCAGGCGCCCCTGCCCTGTTGTAATTTAAGTATATTAACACATTTAATCTTTACAACAATCCTAAGACATAGGCAATAGCATTTTTGTAAAAGATTTGATTGAGAGAGCACATGAGCAGGGGTTGGGGGAGAGGGGCAGAGGGAGAGGGAGAAGCAGGGTCTCCACTGAACAGGGAGCCTGATGCGGGGCTCGATCCCAGGACCCTGTGATCATGGCCTGAGCTGAAGGCAGACGCTTAGCGACTGAGCCACCCAGGTGCCCCAGTAGGCAATAGCATTCATCCCATTTAACAGATGTAGAAACTGAGACATAAGGAGGTTAGTTCACTCACGCAAGGTCACACAGCTGGTAGGTTGCAGAGAATCCAACCCAGTTCCTGCATTACCCTAGAGCTCCCTGTTTCTGGAGTTTTGAAAAGTACTGTAATGTTTGGATTGGTGGGGATTCCATCCAGGGGTGACAGGCTTCTCAATCTCATCACTGGAGCACCTTCATGTTGACCTACATGCCTTGAATACTCTGCTTGCTCAGAGTGTTTTCTATTTTGCCCTAATGTTTTTGGATGGTTACACCAATTTTTTTCTTTCTCATAGTACATCTAAGACAAATGAAGAGCTTCTTTATCTATGTCCCCGCTGACTTCTCCTTTTATGCTGTTGTTTATGTTTGGGACTAACATTTTAATCTCATTGCTCATTGAAGGGAAACTTCCCAGGCTCGCTCTTTCTTTTTCTTTACTTTTTTTTTTGCCAGTGTTTTTCTACTTTCCTGTTGAATGGGAAGGAATTCAATTAATAAAGTATATCAGTGTGATTAATCCTGCTGTCTCTACCTGGATGTTCAAGGTTTGGGAGGTGGAATATTCTAGTCAACACCATGAGTAGAACATATAACAGTTCCTATAGGAAAAGACAAAGCCTTGGCAGGAGCTTATGATGCTGTCCTAGGGGGTAAGATAATTTTTAAGTCTTACTTTTTCTGCCCCTTCCTTGTACTGTCTAAGTTTTCTTAAAAATAAGATTCAGATGCTTTGTTTACTTATTTTCTTGGCAATCTGGGTTGTCAAGACAACAAGATCGGTTTGCCTAGAATAGGTTTTTCTAGTGTTCTTAGAGGAGAAAACCCAAAAAGCAAAGCTAATTCTTATTTTCATATCTCTAAGAAGAAAATGGTTTTCTTCAGTGGAATGATTCCTATCATAAGGAAGGCCAAATGTCAACGAAAGGCAATTACGATGTCCTCTGCTTTGTTCTAATTCACTTTAATAAGAAAGGCACATATGGGGCACCTGGGCGGCTCAGTCATTAAGCGTCTGCCTTCGGCTCAGGTCATGATCCCAGGGTCCTGGGATCGAGCCCTGCATCGGGCTCCCTGCTTCTCCCTCTCCCACTCCCCCTGCTTGTGTTCCCTCTCTCGCTGTGTCTCTCTCTGTCAAATAAATAAATAAAATCTAAAAAAAAAAAAAAAAAATAAGAAAGGCACATAATCAATGGAGTTTTTAGCACTGTACTAAGTATATTAATAGCGCCTCTGAGCACTTATGTGCCACGTACTGAGCTATTAACTTTACATACATTATTGTATTTAAACCTCACTGAACCTGTGAGCTAGGTTGGTTGTCTTCATTTGACAGCTGATGAAACCAGAGTCCCTGTCCAAGGCCAAGGCCAAGGCCACAGACCCAGTAACTAGCGAAGCTGGGATTTGCACTAGGTCTATCTTGACTCCAAAGTCACTGCTTTCAACCACAACACTGAAGGTAAACGGATGTTTCAGATGTGGTACTTATCTATCCTCCAGGAATTTATAGCTCTTCTGGCAATTCAGAACCCATTAGTGAAAAGGAAAGAATAGAGACAGCTGGTGGCTGAGCATCAAATACGTGGTACAGTCCTTGCTATAGGAGGTCAGAGAGAGGAGAGGTCAAGGAGGGCCTGGTCGTAACATTTCAGGAAATTCTTCCAGAAAGAAGTGGATCTTGGGCTAGAGTTTGGATTTGAATGGGCACTTTCTTGCCTTTCTCACATAATTGGCTTCTACCTTTACACAGCTGTAGGTGTGTATACCTAAGTTTCTGTCTGCTAGCTATAGCGTTCTAATAAAACATAGACCATTTAGTAACATATAGAATGGTATATTTTAACAAGTAACAGGAAGAGACATCAACCAATATCTATTTTGGTTTCTTTAGTAAAGCAGGGGTTGCCAAACTATTGCTCACATGGGTTGAATCTGGCATGCCACCTGTTTTTATATGTCCTGCTAAGAATGGTTTATGCATCTTTAAATAGTTGAAGAGAAATCAAAACAATAATGTTTTGTGACATGTGAAAATTATATGAACTTGAACTTTCAGTGTCTGCAAATAAGAGTTTTCCTGGCACACAGCCACACCCATTCATTTGTCTGTGGCTGCTAGAATGGCAGAGCTGAGAAGTTACAACCACATGGCTTCAGAGTCTAAAATATTTACTCTCCTGCCCTTTCCAGGAAACGTTTGCTGACCCCTGACATAGAGTCAAAATATTCAAAATGTACAAAATGTTCCCCATCAGCCCCAATATATATTTTTGGGGGAAAAAACAGCAAAATATAGAAAAATACAGAACTATGCATCCACCATTCAGAATTAACATTTCACCATTTGCTTGGAATTCATTTATAAGTAAAAGGCATAAAACTGTCCAACATTCCTTATGCTCCCTGTCCTTATTCTCTGCCCCTACTTCCATCTTTGTGGCAGATTGTCATGAATTTAATTTACACTCAATCCCCTTTGACCTTTTTAAAAAACACTATGTAAGCATGTGTCCATGAACAAGATAGACTATGTGGGGGTTTTAAAATACAAATTGTAGGGGTACCTGGGTGGCTCAGATGGTTAAAAGTCTGCCTTTGGCTCAGGTCATGATCTCAGGGTCCTGGGATTGAGCCCCACATCAGGCTCCCTGCTTGGCGGGGAGCCTGCTTCTCCCTCTCCCTCTACTGTTCCCCCTGCTTGTGCTCTCTCGCTCTCTCTGTCGAATAAATAAATAAAATCTTAAAAAAAAAAATACAAATTGTACATCATATTGTATTTTGCAACTTGCTCTTTTACTCAGCATTCTGGTTTGGGGATCTTCCCGTGTGTGTGTACAAATAGAGCTAAGGTACTCCTTCGAACTATTCCATAGTATTCCATCAAATGGCCATTATACATTTCGTTTATCCATTCCCCCCATGAACATTGAGGAAGGTTGTTTCCGGGCTTTCACTATTACCAAAAAAAAAGCATGAGCGGTGAGTCACACCAGAAATGGTGGTCATCCGGTTGGAAGCTCTGAATTGTCTGTGAGCACCCCTGCAGCACGGAAATACTAAACTGAGGGGGACTGGAAATCCACCCAGCACAAGAGGACTTTGAACCTTTAATTACTTTGGCCCCTGACTCCCCTCTGGACTCTTGATTCCCTTTTGTTTCCTTGGCAGGGTCAGCGAGACATCCCCTGGGTATCTTTTGGGTCAGGACTGCGTTTCAAAACCACCTAAGGTCGGCGGGTCAGGCAGCCTTTGAGGTCTCCTCTCTCCCTCCCCCTGCAGTGCAGTTACCCAGCTAGGGGACTAAACACACTCTTAAGGCTCCAGCAAAGGAGGACGCCCCAAAGGGGTAGAATGTTTGTGAAGAAGATGAAGATTTCCACAAAAAGCATCTAAGTAGTCTTTTTTTTTTTTTTTTGCATCTAAGTGGTCTTGGGGAAAAGCCAGAACTTCACTGGGTTTCGTGCAGTTTGGTACATCCGGGTGGAGTGGGGGGTGGGAAAGGAACACCTTTGCCCAGCCTTTAGGGCGGGCCCTGAGCAGTGGTCAGTGGGGAAGCGGGTGAGGAAAGGGGTTTCCTCGAATGGGTGGTGACCCGAAATCCAGGCCGCATCCACCGCCCCGCGCCTGGTGCAGAGGGCGCAGCCCCGGGACGGAAGCCGGGCCGCTAGGCGGGACCCCGGCTGTCCCGCGGGCTTGGGGAACTTTCCGCGACTCAGCCGCCGCCCTGCAGTCCTCGCGTTTGGCCAAACAAAGCGAGCGCTGCCGGCGCGTCCGGCCTGCCGGAGGGTGCCGCAGCCGCCGCGGGGAGAACCGGGGCAGGTGCGCGCCGCGGGCGGGGGCAAAGTTGCGGCGCAGCAACCCGCGCTCCGGCGCCCGTCGAGCGTCTCCCCTCCGAGCGGGTCGGCGGCCTCCTCCGACCGCTCCCGGCCCCGCCTCACTTCCCCTCGCCTCCGCCTCCTCCCCTTTCTTCTCCTTTTCCCCGCCTCGCGGCTACTTTCGCCTCCGCCGGCTCCCGCCTCCCTTCCCTCCCCGCCGCGGGGCCGAGCCGGCGGGGGCGCGCCGAGGGCGCGCCGAGGGCGGCTCCGCGCCGGGGTTTCCAGCGGCCGCGGCCAATCGTCGCGCAGCCCGCGGCGGCGTCGCGCCCCAGCCGAGACCGGGCGGCTCCTCCCGCCCCCCCCCGCCCAACCCCGCGCGCCCGCCGGGGCCGCGGAGAGGAGCGCGCGGCCGCGCTGAGCAGAGCGGAGCCGAGCCGGGGGCGCAGAGCGCGGGAGGCGGCGGCGGTGGCGCGGAGCCCAGGTGAGCTGACGGGAGCGGGGCCGCGGGCCGGGGAAGCAGCGCCGCAGCCCCGGGTGCCGTCGCCTTCTCGGGGCGCGGGACCGCTGCCGGGATTGAAGACAAAGCCCTGAGGCCGGCCCCCGGTTCCCTCCACCGAGGGGACCCCACGTGCGCCGCCCCACGCCCCGCCACGTGGGGGGACCCGGCCCCCCGGCGCCCCTTCCCCCGCGTCCTCGGAGCGCCTGGGGCCTTGGGGTGGCCTCCTTGGCTGGGCCGCGCCCGGCCGGGGGTGGGAGGGGCGGTCCCGGAGTTTGGAACCGATGTCACCCGGGGCCGGGGCAGTCAAGGATCTTGGAGGCGGCCTAGGCCCACCTTCTCGCGTTTGGACAGGTGGGGAAAGCTACAGAGTGCAGGGAAGGAGAGGGCCACCGGACTCTGAGCACCCCACCCCCGCACCCCGCTTGTCTTGGGGGCAAACCCAGGCCCTGGTGGGTTGGACCAACACCAGGGGGCAGGACCCTGGATCAGCAGTTGCGGGGCCTGGGGACCTTTGCCTCCCTTAGTTGGCCCTCTGCCTCTGCCCTCCAGAACCTCGCTGGCTGGTCCTTTTGACCTAATTTACCTCCGGTCCACAGCACTCAGTGAGTGCAGAGAGGTGCCCTCACTGGCACCCTCTGCTTGACTCTTGGGGACGCGGGGAGTCTGGGCCCAGCCCCGCTAAGCGTTGGGTCTCGGTGCCTGGAATGCCACCCTATCCAGCCTCGAGCTCTTCCTGGCTCTCCCTCCCGCCCCCCCCCCCCCCCGCATTGCCCAGTTTGGGAAGCGGGATGTTTTCACAGCTCTGCCAGCCTCCCTGCTGCTCTCACTTGGCTGTGGGGAGGTTGCACTTTAGCCTCTCCTGTCTCCCTCAGAAGGTTGGGGCGGAGGGATGCCGTTTGGGGAGGGGGCGGGGGACTCAGTGCCCTCAGTAAGAGAGGGGCTCGCTGGCCTGGGGTGGGACATGTAGTGTCCACTTCCTTAAAGGTAACTTTAACCTTCCTCAATCTGGAAGTCCCTACAGTCCCAGAGATAGAAACTTCATGTACCCTAGAGTGGTACTGTCATTTACCACACCCCCTTGCCTAGCTCTGCCCCCAGGGGAGAGAGAAGAGGATAGCTCTCTGTCCCCATAGGCTCCCATGTTCTCAGGGGGAGGTAGGGGCAGCAACAAGGGGAGGGCTTTGGGGGAGTGATCCCCTGCCTCTCAAACCACCCCACAAAAACATGCAATTTAAGAATAAACAGTGTTCATGCTATGCAAATGCAGCTTTGTGGTGAGCCCTGGCACCTCCTTCCAGATTGCTCATCATCAGCCCTTCCTATATAGAAAGCAGCTATTATAGTGAGAGCACAGGGTATTTTTGTAATAAAAAGTAATAGCCATCATTTGATGAGCCTCCAAACACTGTGCTATGTGTTGCATTTACTGTCTCATTTAATGCCTACCAAAATCCTAAGAGGCAGAGATTTTTATTCCCATTGTAGAGATGAGGAGGTCAAGGGTGGAAACAATGCTGCAGTGTTGCTAGGAGTTAGCCTCATTCTACAGAGGGATCAGAGAGGTTAAGCAGCTTGTCCAGGGTCACACAGCCAACCCAGGCATGTCAGGCTCTTGAGCCTATGCACTTGACCACCTCTCCTAGAGCAGGGTCCCTTGCAAGGCTGCCCTCAGCTTTTTGAGGGGCCCAAAATTGTTTACTAAGCCAGCTTAGGGGGACACAGATCTAAGCAGGCATGCTGCTGATGCTTGATGACTTGTCTTTGCTCCCAGGTTGTTAGTGGGCTAGTAGCCAAATTATTCACCAATAACTCTGCACTAGCTCTCATCAAGGGCAGTCCCACCTTCCTGGCAAGCATTTGGAAAAGTGCCTGGTGACTTTTGGTTGTCAAAGTGATGCTGAGCACTTCTGGCTTTGGTGGGTTGGAGCCAAGGATGCCAAATGTCCGGCAAGCAGGCCAGATCCATGCCAGGCAAAAAGAATTGTCCTGGCACCTGTTGAAAAACACCAGGAGGAATCAGTGTGCTAGGAATGAAGGAAGCAGAGGGCTGTGGAGTTTCTGGAGAAATCTCTTCTGGCCAGTATGAATCTAGGAGGCTCCCAGAAAGAGGTGGTGTTTGTGCTCAGCCTTGAGTAATGGGCTAAAAATAAATAAATAAATAAAAAATAAAAGGAGATTGCATGGGAGTAGAAGAAAAAGGGTCTGACCTAGTAGAGGGAACTTTCCGCACTAACTCAGAGTTCCCTCCTTGAGAGCCTCAACCTGGATCCAAGATGGGCTGCTGGGTGGGGAGAGACCTCTCTCGAGAGGAACTGGGTGGGGCAGGCCAAGCCTATTTTCAAGGCATTTTGGCTCAGATTTTAATGTGGGTTGCAGAGTCATCCTCATCCCATCATGAACTCATTTAATGGAAGGGCTCAGAGAGGCAAAGTACTATAACTTGTTTAGGGTCACTCGCAACCTTCCTCTCTGCATGCCACCTTCTGGTAGCTGTGGGAATCCTCGAGTTCTCCTTTCCTTTTCCAGTCCTGGAGATTTGGGGCAAATGCTATTTCAGATTGTCCTTTGAGTCAGAGGGCCTTGTGTTGCTATTTTTCCCCGGATATTGTGCTCTCCCAGTTAGCTCCTCCCCTTTGGGTTACAGGCCGGCGGGGGGGGGGGGGCATGGGGTTCAGGCATGCCTGGCTCCAGGTTGCTGCCTTGGCCTTCTCCCTCATCTCTGCGCCTTCTTTCTTGGAAGTGAAGGAAATTGCATTCCTCTCTTGGAATGGCCTTTTCTTCTTTCAGAATGTGTTTGTTCCCTTGTTGACCTGTTAATATGTGACCTTTCACATCTGGCTTCTCTTTCTTGGAGCATAAATGTTTCCCGAGGTTCATCCATGCTGTAGAACATCTCTGTGTTTCTCTACTATGGCTGAGTAGTATTCCCTTGTATGGATAGACCCCATTTTGTTTATCCATTCATCAGCTGGTGGACACTGGGTTGTTTACACCATGCACTTTGTGCATTCCTCTGCCTCTTCAGCGCCCAATTAATAAACCTCTGGGCATGAGACATTATTTTGTCACTCTGTTTGCAGAGAGAGGGTGATGGAAGGAAGGGTCTCTGAAAACAGTTGGGGAACGGTTCCCATGAACAGGGTTTTCAGGATTCCTTCCATCTTGCCCACTCTAGCTCCGCCACAAGAATCCTGCTTCCTTCCAAAGCCCAGTGCCTCCAGGGTCCATGCACGGGGGGACAAGTGTGATTTTTCAGGGAGAGTGTGGATTTCCTTCCGTTCCATTTCTTCCGTCACGATGATTTGTTAGATGTAGGGCCTCATGTCATCTCTTGGCATGTATTTTGTGAGACTTTTTCCAGGTGAGTAAATCCACAAAGTAGAGAGAGCCTCACCAGACAGATGGAGCCCTAACCCGGTGGCCAGGCGTGGAGTCAGTGCAGTCTCCCAACGGCTTAGCCAGAAATGCCTACCGCGGAGGAAATCAGAAGTCTAGCAAACACTGACCTGGGAGGAAGCCCAGAAAAGAGCACCCCTTAGCCCCTTCCGTTTGACAGCTGAGTAGGTGGAACGCAGAGAGGAGGGGAGAACAGGGTCTTTGGGAGCATTGACTGTGAGCCAACTTTCATATAGAGGATGGACTCCAAAGCCATCCTCTGGCTAGGCCGCAGTGGCTCCATTTTACAGATAAGAAAATCAAGGCCCTGGCCCCTGGGATCTGTCTAGTTTCCTGGCCTACCTTCTAATCCTGAGCGCTCTAGTCTCCCTTGGCCTCCATATGCTGGCAGATGATACCCATTTTCTCATGGAATAGAAACCCTTTTCTCCAGGAGGGTATGGTTTTGCTCTCTGAAAAATAAGATTTTAAGTGATTATTTTTTTCTTTCTTCCCTGATTGGATCCCTTCCTCAACACAACCAAAAGTTGGTTATATTTCAAAGGAGGTGGGTGCTGTTGTTCATCAGGAAGACCACTGGCTCTGGCATTCCCTGCAGGGGGAAGTTAATGACCAAAATTGGGAAGGAGTGATTTCAGCTGTCCTTGTTTTCGGTTTCTGTCGTGTTGGTAGTGGTGCTGCTGAACTTTTTCTTCAATTATGAAACATTTTAAGCATAGAGAAAAGCCAAGTTTTGTTTTGTTTTTTTGACTGGCTCATGTGTTTTGGAAGGCCGGATGGAAACAGGGCAGAGCAAGGTGCCGTGTTTCACTTAGCGCTGGCTCTGGAACCCTGATGATATGTCACTGAACTGAACCCACACTTTTTGGGGGGCTGGTGACAAGCCCTGTCCTGGGAGCTGAGGGACGCTGGTACGGGGTCCCTGTCCCCGGAGAGCTCCCAGGTGGGTGGTTTCTGAACTCTTGGGGAGTGCTCTGGAAGAGATAAACTATTCTAGCATTTTCCCCTTTGAAAAGGAGAGAAAGAAAATTCCAAGAGTCTGTTTTACCCCCACCCCCACCCCATCCTGAAAGCTGCTGAGCAACTATTTTTATGTTGTCTCTTTTTATCCCGTTGGCTCTGTAAATAGTTGAGAGATGGCAGTTGCAGAGATAAAAATGCTTAACCCAACCTGGAGTGGAGAGGATGGTCCCGCAAGGAGATGCCCCCTCACCCCTCCCCGGCCAAGGTCTGGCCCCTCTGCCCACAGGGGCGTGAGGTAGGAGGTGAGTGGATGGGGGAAGGGGCATCGTGGGTGGTGTCTGAGATAAGCCTCTGCTGGAGAAGTTTAAATGGGGAATCAGTGGTTTGGGTGGGGGCAGGGTGTGGAAGAAAGAATACCTCCCTTATGGGTTTTTACAAGTGCGTAAGGATTTTGCTTTTGAGGCTTCTGATGGAAAGAGATTTTATTTAAGTTCATCTCAGACAGTTCTCCCAGCTTCTGTGTCCAGGTGTGGGGGACAGGGTTGGTCCCCCTGGCTGGGGTTGCTTTGTGCTGGAGGTTGCGGAGGGAGGGAACTGGATTTAGCATCACCTCCAAACCGCAG